AATCTGTCTTCAGATTATAATAACACTAGTCCATGTCCACATCTCACATAAAATTTATCAGGATTGATTAACATTAAGATTATTTAATTTAAAAAAAACTGAGAAAAAAATTGTTCAAAAAAGTTATTGAAATAGGAAAACTTTTTTCTCGTTTGANGAATGACAACACTTATTAATAATTTATCAGTTATTTCTTTACCAGACACTGGATCTAGTTTTTCAACTATTTCTAAGAAACTCGCGGTAAAACTTGGACTCAGAATCTGGCCGTGGAATAGACGTCCGATGCGTTTAGCCGATGGGAGTGCAGTCAAACCATATGGCATTGTGAACAATGTTCGCGTAGTGATCGGATCGCGTGCAGTGATCATCTCAATGGCCGTCTATGACGACGACACCATTGACTGCATTCTCGGTATGGATGTACTCCAATCCATAGGATTTGTCTTCTCCGCGAACAATAGGACTTGGAATTACAATATGGTTAGTGATGTTTACGCGAAAGACATTGAATGCGACAAACCTTACATTTGGTTTCCCGCGACGGCGTCCGAGACCAACAAACTGACGACTGTTAGACCAGAAGTGGACATCACTTACGCTGGAGGACTGTGTGAATGCCATCAAAATTGTAAGCATTCAAGACATCACATAAATAACGCGAGAAAGAAGAGAAGGAAAAAGAGAAACAACCGTTTGTCAACACAACCAATTGCTAGAAGCAGTTCTGGACATTCAAGAGCCGCGGAATCTATCATAAGTTTGGACTCAGAAGAAGCTGTGAGTAAAAGAACCGTAAATTTGATTGAAGGAAATGAAGAATTTGTTCACATGAGTAACAAAACAGCCATTAATATGATGTCTATCGCGGAAGCAATTAATATAAAGTGCAGAACTGATTCTGATTTGATTTCGAGACCTAATGATAGCCGAGATATTTTGAGACCAGAAAAGAGACGTAAACGCGGATTGAATTATACAATTGGACGAAATAAGTCTATTAACAAACAATTGGAACCGATCAAAAGTCTGGGGCCGGAGGCGGTCGCCTCTGTTCGCGGACACAAGAATATTGACAACATTTGCAACAATCGTTTGAATGACATTCATGTTGTGAAAACGCGGAAAGTGGACGACAATGACCAGCCATTCGAGTATTGGGGAGTACGCGAGCGGTGGTGTGTCGGCCCGCATGAACCACAAGAAGTGAATGAAGAAGAGAAGATACCAGAAGAAGTAGTGACGCGTATGGGAAGAGAGTTCAGACGAACGGCTCGTTTCTTCAAATAGTAATTAAGTTTTGAATGTTATTTCGCGAAACAAATACACAAATAATTTTAGTTTATTTTATATATTTTTTTTAGTTTGATTTATAATTTTGTTTTGAAAAATGTTTCATTTCATTAGTTTTATAATTAATCTATATTTATAATAACTATAACGCGTATAAAATATGAGAAACTTTTGATATAAGTTAAAAATTATTAGAAGATAAATAGGTATTAGTTTTGAAACATAGAAAGAGAAGTAAAGTAAAGAAAGAATAGAAGAATAGTAGAAATAAGTGTTATTCAATAGAAATACTGTAAGAATTTATAGAAAGGATTACATGAAAAGAGAGAAACAAATAATTTAAAATTCAACAAGACTTTGAAATCGCGAGAATTAGCCATAGATTTTGGTCTACGCGTAAAAGTCGTACAATTGTTACACAAATTTAAGTAATAAGTGATTTAATGGATAAATTAAACGCGGTATTAACTATTAATTGTGTAAAATTAGTATAAAATGAATAAATTAGTTGTTAATTATATGTAATACTTTTGTATTGGTGTTCTCATAGAGACTACCATTTGTTTCAATCAGTCTTTCGTATAGAATCGCGAAATGAATATTGACTTCTATTTATTCAAAATATTTGAAAATTTAGATTATGTTTTAAATTATATTATTAAATATTTTCTGAAATCATTTAATTTATTGATTAATAAGTTTTATTTAAAGTAAGGATTAAATCGCGTAAATAGTATTTAAGTTGTGATTAAGTTTTGTCTGCGATCGCCGCCAAAGACATGCCGCGGATCGGATCTATTGGTGTCGACCAGGAGGTCGAAAGTGGGGCCGGAGGAGCTGGAAGGGTCAGATTGAGAGCATTGAACTTAACTACCTTTCACATCACTACAACCCCAAGACCTCATTCATTAAGACTATTGGAAACGCGTACACAGATTAGAGTCACATATAATCCATAATCCATTCTCTCTATTAGTGTGTAAANCTGGAAGGGTCAGATTGAGAGCATTGAACTTAACTACCTTTCACATCACTACAACCCCAAGACCTCATTCATTAAGACTATTGGAAACGCGTACACAGATTAGAGTCACATATAATCCATAATCCATTCTCTCTATTAGTGTGTAAACGCGATATTGAAACCCAATTTTATTCATTTATATTCATAGAAATTTGATGTTATTTTTAAACTTTACTTTTGTTTTAAATATATATATAGAGAATAAGAGGAGACGCGGAAACAGGACATGAGTTCATACAAATAGTAATGAATTAGCTTTTGATGGGCAGTAAGTGTTGGGCACTTGAAGTGAACACTTGTCTCAGGAATTATATTTTAAGTTAGGTTTAGATATTGGACACTGTTTTCGCGTTAAATTGATTTCTTTATGAATTAAATTTAATTATTAAGAATTTGATTATTAATTTGTTTATTTTGTATTCATTTACATGTGTTTTGTCGCGAAATATAATAAATTGTTTGAAAAGAAGTGGAAAGTTTATGTTTATTTGTGTGAATCGCGAGAAAAGTTATTTAAATTGTGTTAAATCCAGTTTAAATCTAGTTATCTTGTAAATCCCCCTTACAGTACACTGTATATTCCAGGCGCCTGTACTTTAAGAAAGTGCATACAGTTTAAAAATATTGTCTGCTAATATGATCTAGTACATTAAGGGAATTTACAGCAATGACATTAATCTCAAAATAATTAATATGTTTGACTAATTTGTTTTATTTTATACCTTAAATTAGTATAGTTGGCAACACTCGCACATTTAATACAGGATCAATATTTTTATCGCAATCAAATTATTATACAATTATTATTTCCATATCTAATCAACATTATTTCTATTAATTACTGCCACACATTATTATCCCGTATTAATTGCAAAATAAAAATCCAATTTAACTGCAATTAGTTGTACATTAATTTATAAATAAACATGTTGTTATTATTATCAATTGCCACTCACTTTAAACACCGGTTATAAAAACACACACCTCTTAAAAATGAACTTTATAATAATACAATAAATATTTTATAATGATTATTTATTTGCGGCAATAAAATGGCACTGTTTTTATAAAGTTACACGCGGTCGACTTGTTTTAACTTACAATGTATTATCACTCATATAGATATATAGGAATATTCCGTAAATAAATAAATACATCAAATAAATACAACACTAATTTAATAAAAATATTAAATATACAGAATATTCTATAAATATTTACTGCATGTCTGGTAAATATCACTCATTAAACTATAAGTTTAAATAAATATATTTTGAATCTATGCTGTTTGATAATACACCAAGCACACTTATTAATTAAAACTTATTTTTAGACATTAGCTAATATCGCAATAATTAGCAGTTATTATTGTTATCGATATAAAACTAAATCACAACTTTAATTAATGTAATGCATATCTATTAAAATAACCTGTTTTGGCGTTTAGACATTCATGTGTTTGTTATCATGCTGTTTTGTTGGTGACAGTGTATTGTAGTTATGTGAATTGTAATTGAGGTAGGGGCAAATAGTGGTATTTACACTTGGTTGAATGCGTTTTAATTTGAAAAGCTACTGATGGTTCAGGTGTTCAGAATAATATTGCACTTTTGTTACTAATTAATAATGATAACTTAGGTTATACTTGAGTTTATATATGCGATAATAGTGAAAAATGTCAAATATTTAGTATAATAAATGAACAATGCTCAATATTTTAATCTTAATGTTTTTTAACTTTAAATTCTCTCTCTCTCTCTCTCTCTCTAAAGGAAAATGAACTGATAATAATCAGCACAATATGCATATCAATGTACGATAAGCGCCAAATAACCATGATGTTTAATAAATGCTTATATCTAATTACCGTTATAAAACAGAAAAAAGTTTTTATATGTTATCTTATAAAATAAATTTTTTAATGGGATATATACTACCATCTAGCACTATTCATATAAATAAATTCATTCTATACTCACATATAAATAACAAATAGAGTTACAAATAACAAATAAGGGGTATCAAAAATTTGAATGACACGTATGATTTAAGATCAGTTAATCAGCTAAATTATTTCAATGACCAGCAAGATTGTTTTCCAGGGGGCATTTCCAGAGGGGTCAAAAATATCAAACAATCGTCATCAATCATTCTAACGATCATACATCACAAACGCCGTTACGATTTCGGGTGGGTTTTCAAAATAAGGGGCAATTAATAATAACACTAATAAATTAATCAAACAGTTTTATTATACAGAATATTCGTGAAAATAAAACACTTTAATAATACATAACGTTGTCAATGAATGGTTATCAACAAATGGTTTGCGCCATAACCAACGTTGTAAACATATGCGTTATTTATGAACGTGAGGTACAATGAATGGCCAAAAAGCAACAGTGCATCCGATAGTGAGAGGGGGTGAGAGGGGGAGTGATGAGTGACACACGCGTACCCGCCATACCAATGAATCATTGATAATAATCACTGAATGGCATCACTCATAAATCACGTGACAAAATTGGACAGCAATATTGTATATCCATAATATACCCCTTACACACCCCACCCCCTATTTGATACATTTAGATGCAATTAAAACAAACAAATGTATGGTTAGGTCCGATGGCCGGCGCGCCATATGATTGAGTCAAATGCTTTCATTTAAAAGGCTATACGAAAAATACAAACACTTTTTGATAACAGTTTTGATTGGGTTTTGAAATTAAACACACGTTTAATACTGTGTTATAAACACAACCAATGATTAACACAATTAGTGTTTAGTTTAGTGTTTATTACAAGTGATTTAATTTACTAATAAATAATTAACAAGTATTTACAAAACCACTCAAAACTTACCCGAGAAGTGAAACACCCGTTCGGAGCCGAAGACTATGTCCACCACTCAAGCGGTGGCCCGACGGGGAGGTCGAGGCGGCGGCGGTGGAGGGGCCGCAGCGGCCGCCGACGACTCGGCCGTACAACAGGTCTGTCCAACACGTGATTAACACGTGTGTGTCTTGTTTACCATCGATGACTCATCTATATATCTGTCCCTTTAGGCTAATGGTCAACAACAGGCGCCCGTCGAAGCGCAAGCACCGGCACAACCGGCAGGTCTGGCCACTCGTAACCCCCGACCCCACCCTCATTCCCGCTATCCGGTGACCAATTGTGGTCAACCACTTGTGTTTATACCTAGTTCCTAATCTTATCATGTTTATCATCACTACTTCCCCCAAACCCAACTCCCCGTTGTTTTTGATTTGATCCACTGATTGGTTGATTAATTGTGTTTTTAAATGTTTACAATAGGTAACCGATTCTGGTCGGTGGCTCAGGGCTTGATATTCCGTGGGCTCATCATATACTTCATCACATCATTCTTCAGAGGCCGGTCCGCTCCCCAGACGGCCGGCACCGGTGGGCCCAACAGTCCGCTCACAGGCGCCAAACCCGTCATCTCTTCATCTAATCTATTCACTAACGGAACAGTTATGGTAATGAACGCCTCTCTCACTCACTCCCTATCACCAACCGATCCCTCTCTTCTCTCCACTGTTACCACAAGAATATTCTGTGCGATATATCAGAGCGAAAACAATAAGCAATTGATTTGCTGAATAAAACCATATTTTAGTTTTGATAATAACCTCCAAATAGTGTACACATGTGTATAATTACCAGACCTTAAGGCCGGGCCTCCCCTTTGCTGCGAACACACCTGTGTTTTTACTTTGTGTGGCAAATGCTAGTAGACATCGCTATTGTGTTATAAAATTACATTTTTGAAACTTATTGTTTCAATAATCGCCACACAGTTGTCACTCTCCCTATTGTTATTAGTGTTTGTTATTTGTCTGCTAATTGATAGCAAATAACCATTCATTTTGGTGTCCAAATCATAGGATCTGTTTCTATACATATGCGACGACG